ACAGGACAAGGGCAAATGGCCTCAGGCTGGGCCAGGGCAGGCTCAGCTTGGACAGCAGCAGCAATTTCTCCATGGAAAGGGTGCTCAGGCCTTGGCAGAGGCTGCCCAGGGAGCTTTGCAGTGCCCATCCCTGGAGGTGTCACCTGGATGTGGCACTCAGAGCTCTGGGCTGGGGACAAGGAGGGGATCAGGCACAGCTTGGACTGGGAGGGATTTTACAACCCAAATCATTCTGTGATTCCAGGAAAACTCCTGGTGTAAGCCCCAGTGTGAGCCCAGCAACCTCACCTGGTCAGAAACTGATAAAGATTGTACTGGATTCAAGTTAAACAACGATGGAACAACTAACAATAATTAATGAGAGGTTTCCTTGAAAGCCTTCCAAAACATTTAACACGGGTTCCCTCCAGACAAAACAGAACCAAAAGAAATCCAGGAGAGTTCCAAAGCACCTGAGTTTGTGACCTCACATCTCTAAGAGTCAGCTGAGTGCCCAGAACAGAGAGAAGCCCCAGCCCCGAGGAGCCTGCAGCTCAGGGTAAGGATGGTGAGGGTGACAGTGGCACTGGAGGTCCCATGGTGTCATTTTAAGCTCACAGCTCCAAATATCCATTTTCAGTCCCCAGGGAATCATTCAGGAGCCGTGCAGGCTCTGAAGGACAGCACTGAGTGTCTCAGCACAGATTCTGGCACAGGCAGGACACTCGGTGCCCACAGCACTCAGCAGTGACCAGAGAACCAAACTCTGCTCTTCCTTTATTGCCCCAAAGCCTGAGGGGCAGAAATGGGTTTTTACATCCTGCCTCTTAGTCTGCAGGCTGAACTTAATGTCTGGCTGTGGCATTTAGCAGGAGCCTGCAAACACGAGCAAATCCAGCAGCTGGAATTGTTCCCTTGAAATAAAGCAGTGCTGCCGTTGGATAAGATAAATGGAAAGTCACAGGAGGGTTTTTGAGCAGTAAGAAGTTGGAAATGGTCTCATTAAGAGCTTACCCCTCCCTCTCAGGAAGGGAAGACTCTTTTTTGGGGAGGGCATTTCTGAGCACTCAGTGCTTCCAAGAGAACCTGGCAAAGCCTTCCCTCCCCAGGAGCTCAGGAGAGGATCTGGAGCTGAATGCAATAATGAACACAATGTTCATTGTCAGGAAGGGCTCTGAGCTGCATTCCTGCCCTTCTCCCCATTAAGCCACACTGGGGGATGGAGCAGGCAGCACACACCTGGCAGCACTGCCAGGAGCCAAAGCAGAGCCCAGAGCTCTCCTGGCACACCTGGGGAGGAGGGAAATTCCAGTGGGGCACTGAGAAACACCTGGAAACAGGAACTGCCCACCACAGCTGACTCCAGGATAAAACAGCTGGATCAGTTTTAATTCATTCATTTCACCCCCTACACCAACAATGTGAAATCCTCCTCACCAGCTTCACGGGCCTAAACGAAAATAATTCTGAGTTTGTGAAGTGTTAGGTATTGCTGAAAGGGTACAGGAGTACAGCAACAGGAATTGACATTAATCTGCATTTCAAAGTCTCTGCCACTGCCCCAGGCCATGGGAACTGAACACCTACACAGGTCTGAGAACTTTAAATTTGTTTCAAGTGATTTAAAAAGTTAAAAGTGTTAGCTGCCAGACACACACAGCACCTTCTCCAAAAGCAGCCACACTGCTCCTCACCACTGTGCTCACAAACTAAGGGCTTTCCTTCTACAGGAACAACACAAGCCTGAAGTAAAACTCCAGCTGATGACATCTGCCATTGCCTTCTGTAAAACTAAGAGTTTTCATCCCTTCGTTTTATCACTTTCTGTTTTAAAAAAATAAATTTTAAAAAATATTTAGGGCTTCAGCTCCCTCCCTGTTTGCTTTATGCCAGGACACCCCTTTGCTCCCCACCTCCAATCACAGAATCACTGAGGCTCTTGGTCACCCACTGAGTCCAACCTTTGACCTAAATAAAATTAAAAGTTGCACTGACAAACTGAAAAACGCCTCACCTTGCACACAGTACTTCAGTTACCATGATTTTAAGTGGTTTGTAACCACAACACACCCTGTAGACATCCAACTCTTTTAAAATGCAGTGATCAATTGGCACCTGCTGTCATAATTCCATTTGCTTCCACAGAAACACCTGGCCCAATACAATGTGCTATTTGCTGTGGAATTTTAAGGTCTCCTACTGTTTCCTCCAGATCTAGGCTGCCTGAAACTCTTCATTACATAAGTTTTTAATAAATCTGTATGACTTAAGCACAGCTGAGAAGTTAAAATACTTCAGTGCTTAAAGCCCACAGGCCTGGGACAGGCCCATGAAACTGTTTAAACTTAGGCACAGTTTATCAACAGAAATCCGTTTAAACCAGAGACAACCAAAACCAAGGTTTCTTCTCCCTGGTACCAAAGGGAAAACAATGAACACAATACAAATAGGATGGATTCAGATCCTTACCACCTGAATCACCTTCTCTCAATGCCTCTTGAGGCTCCCTAAAGCTCAGAGCAGCCCACGCAGGCAGGAGCTCAGGCACCAACCCAGCCACAACAAACACAGCTCCAAACTTCCAGAGCTGCTCCTTCCCTCCTCAGAAACTGTCACAGCTTCCAAAACACACAGCTGCTGACATCCACCGTGCTTTACAGGGCTGCAAACTGATCAAATCCACCCTGGGCTGCACAAATGATCAAATCCACCCTGGGGTGCACAACTGGTAACATCCACCGTGCTTTACAGGGCTGCAAACTGATCAAATTCACCCTGGGCTGCACAAATGATCAAATCCACCCTGGGCTGCACAAATGATCAAATCCACCTTGGTTTAAAGAACTGCACAACTCATAACACCCACCCAGGGCTGCAACTCCTCACTCTCACTTCACCTGTGCTGTGTGTGATGTCATTGAACTGCTGAAAAGTGAAGCTTTTTCTTGCTGCAAAAGCCCTTTTTTCTTGTGTTATGGCTCCTTCCTAAACCCCCTGCACCAGCCAGCACTGCCTACAACAGGTATTGCTGTGGGGTCCTGGGATAAAGCAAAAAAATCACAGCCCAAAATCTTCCATCTTGTTCCATACCTTTTACTATACTATAAAAACGTCAAATTTTAAACCCTTTACCATATGATATCACACACTTCTATTTCATTACACACCTGTGATTTTAACTTTATCACTCAAATTTGGAGACCTTCTCCAAGGCCTCAGCTCAAAAGCAGTGTTCTCCTGGGGGTCAGTGCCAGACAGCACAGAAAGCCCAAAAATCCAAGATTTCTGGGATCCAACAGCCTGCCTGCATCAGTGCAACACAGCCAACAAAAAAAGCCATTTACTGCTCCAAAACCCCATCCTGCTCCAAAGGCAGGGAGTGTGGGACAATGCTGGCAATGCTGCATTCACCACCACAGGAACTGCAGTGAGCTGTGAGGGTGTCCCATGGAGGGGTCCCCTCAAACACGGGATTCTGGAACTGTCAGGAACCAACCCTGGCAGCCCAGCCTGGGAGCTGCTCCCTTGGGACTGACCCAGACCCCAGCAGCAGATCTGGGATGTTCCAGACAGCCCCAGGACAAGACAAGAATCCTGTGCATGATGATGGGAACAAGCAGAAACCCAACGAGGATTTCACAGGATAATATGCTCAGGGAAAAGAGACACCTCTGGAGCAGCATCCTGCACACAGGGAAGCATTTCAGGGTCAAAGCAAACCTGGAACTGAAACTTGGGACGTTCTAAACCACTGGAATGGTTTGTCACTGCAGCTGCAGCACACAGAGCAGAGAATGATCAAAGGTTTGAGTGGGAAGACACCTTAAAGCTCATCCAGGGGCACCCTTGGATCCCTGGAAGTGTCCAAGGCCAGGCTGGACAGGGCTTGGAGCACTCTGGGACAGTGGAAGGTGTCCCTGCCCATGGCAGGCAGTGGAATTAAATGCTGTTTAAAGTCCTTTCCCACCCAAAGCATTCTGTAATTCTATGATTCACCTTCCCCAGATGTGGGATGTGTTGCACAACAAACATAGTTCTAGAGGAATTTTAAACACAGGATTCCATCTTTTTTACATGATTCTGGTTTTTCACATATCCAGCACACACCAGGAAACAGAAGTCACTGCTTCACAACACCAGTTTGTCATAAATGAAAAATGTCAGGATCAGTTTCGTGAGTGTAACAAACAGGCAAGGGAACGTACAAAACACGAGATTTTAAGGTCAACACCACAGTCAGTATCACCAGATCCCGATACCTGAATCACACTGAGAAGTCTCTCAAGGCAACTTCCACTTTCCTGGCTCACTTCCTTCTTCAGACATTTAAACAACAACCTAAGGAGATGTGGAAAACACCAAGTGAGCTTCTTCTCCAAGAAAGCAGCAGGTTCTCCACAGAAAAATCACATTGCCTTATTTCACAGCCACAATACTGT